ACTTAAAGCTCACAGTTACATTAGAATAATATTGCACTTTTAAGTTTTTTGTTGACAATTTTCTTTCCAATATAACTTTTATGTAAGTGTTTTTTCTTTCTGTTATGTATGATAACATTACAGTGCTAGTTTTTTTGGCACTTACCATTCACTTTTATTGGAGTAAGTAGTCAGGGCATTTTATTTCATTTGTACTTTTTGACTCTATGTATCTTTGTTACAGGAGCAGAACTTGTGTAGCAGCAAACATCAGCTGTGGAATTCCAGCACGCTCTTTTAGGTCTATGGGAAATCAGTAAAGTATCAAGTATACATAACCTTACTTTACATGACTAAAATATCAAGTACACATACTTTACATTACTTAAGTATCAAGTATACATAACATGTACCGATACAGCCTCATGTAAGGCTAGGGTAAGGTTAAATGTTTTTCTAATGTTTTTTCTTTTTTTTTCTTTTTTTTTTTTTTTGTAATTTTAATGCAAAATAGGTAAATTTGCAGCTTTCTGATCAAAAAAGTCTAACTCTACTTCTGTGGCTATAGACTGTATATATAAATGGACACTGGGCATGAACATGTGGGCGCTTCTGGCTCCAACGAGTCTGACTCCAGTTCACTTTGTATTGAAAAACCGTGGCCCCTCTGTCTGTAACTGCTGCTGTCAGACTCCTTATTGTAATATGTTTGTATTAAGCCGCTCTACATGATCCTGCTGCTGCCCCCACGACCCGGCCCCAGATAAGCAGAAGAAAATGGATGGATGGTGGCACCAGATGTGGCAGAAGACCTTCCAGAGGAAACACTTTGAGGGAATGAACCATTTCATCACCAACGGAAACAGCAGAGCGGAGTAAGAGTGAGACCTGCAGGACTCAGAGGAGGGAGAGACACTTTTGGCTCTTCCACAGGATCTGCTGACCCTCCCTGACCAGTCCTCCTGCATTGAGACCTTTGACTGAGACACAATGGACACTGAGACGCTCACTGGAAATGCTGATGCAGCTACACTTGAATTTCCCTTAGGGTCAATAAAGTATCTCTCTCTATTTCGCTATTTTGTTCATTAATCAATTCCTATATCTAATACAGATAGATTGATAGATAGATGAATTCATTTTTCGGCAGCAACAATGATACATAATAATAATAATAATAATAATAATAAATAAAAATAAAAAAATATAAATAATAATAATAATAATAATAATACAGCAGTAATTCAATCCATAGAGCGTCAAAGCTTCAAATTCCCCCCATAACTGCAGCCCAATGAACTTTATTTGACTGGAACTTGAGAGGAGCGGCGGGGTAAACTTTTACCTTTTTTCAAGGATCTGTCTGTGTGATCTTGAGCTGGGCTTGGTCAGGAGTTAGGATTATCTTAGCCTGAAGATTCTCCAGGAGATGAGACATGAGGAGAAGTTGAGAGCAGTTTGCCAGTGTGTTGTAGAGCCTGTACCTCAACAGAAAGTCTTCCTGTCCTTTCACACAGGTTCAGACTGGTCTCTTTGGGTGCTCCTGTTCACAGTTGTTGTGCTTGTTTTGCTAATGAGCACTGTCCAATAAATCAATGGAAGAAATGACTCACTGAGCACGACTGTAAATGTCAGCTAAGTGCTCGCGCTGCAGACGATGGGCTCAGGTAAAACACATTCAAGGTCCATTTTGGAAACGCTTGTGAAAGAATGGCATCTGAGTTGCAAGCACTCCCCTCACAGCAGGAGGGTTCCATTTTGAGTTGGGTCTTTATGTGAGTTTGCATGTTCTTTCTGTGTCTGTGTTGGTTTCTTCCTGTGATGTGTTGCAATTTGTTAGAAATAGTGGATTTAAAGGTGTACTGTGTAACTTTTCTGGTGGAGGGTCAATCAAATGCTTTTTTTTTTGCTTTGTCTGGAATGTTCCACAATATGGCATTAAACCTTTCTATCTTCATGGAGACCAAACCAGACAAAGTTATAGGTCAGATCTGTGGAGAGGTGACCCCACTCACAGTCAGAATGTCTGTTTTTGTAGGTATTTTTTGAGCAGTAAAACCACCTGTAATTGGATAAATGTAAAATAGAGCTGTTTAATGCTTGGTTCTTTTTCCAGATTGGACAGGGCATCTAGGAGTTTGCATATTCTTAAAACAAGTGCACAGGTGTCACGTTGTCATCTAAACGTGTGTGCTTGTTTTGTATTGTTTTAAACTCCTGGATTCTAAAATGTGTTTGTGTTTGAGAGCTCGTGTGGACTCTTTCTCTTTAATTACACCAGTGAAGGAGCAGCCTGTGACAGCGGCGTTCAGCAAGATAAAGATTTGTCTCCTCCGGCTCCTTTAATAATTACAGTCATTAGGCAACACAATGGAGCCGGTCTGTGCTCATTCTAATGTGAAATGAAGAGTGTGACAGGCGTACACACTCGCAGAGCTGGACGATGACATCACAGTCTGTGCGCTTCAGGCTTCAAGTGCAAATGACCCAGGGTTTGGATCATTCTCAAATTCTGACTTGATTTGGTGGATAATACATGTTGTAAAAATAAATGATAGTTTTACACAATCAATCAAGAAGCAATTTGTGAAGAAAAGTTGAAAAACATGTTGAAAACAAGCGCAATCAGAGACAGCAACCTGGTCCCCCATGAGGCATCGGTGGGGTCAGTTCATCACCACAGAAGGAGTTTATGAGGAGCTCATACCCTGGTTATGTGTGTGTCAACTTGTGTGATGATTGGGTGAATATTTTAGGCCACAGATGGTTCAGAAATTGACAAAATTGCTGATCTTTTATAATGGCGTGACCTTTCAATTGACCCGTGTGACTTCAAATCGTCACCAATTTTTTATTTTTTTGCAGCATCGGGCACAGGGGCTTGACCCACGTACCAAATTTGATGACAATCGGTCCATAAATGGCGGAATTATCGCGGGTGGACAGACACACAGACAAAACCTGGTCAACCCTTCGGGGACCAGGTAATTACAGGAAGATGTTGTTAATATGATGAAGTGAGATTCAGGAGCAGAACCACGCCTCAGCCGCCCTCTCCTCTCACCAGCGAACCACAACTCACCTCGACCACACCTCGAATTTCCCAGAAGCCTATATGTAGCAGCCTTTCCCATCATCCCATTTTGTCTCGGCGAACTCGACCCCACCCTCCCATCCCCTATTTTGTCTTTCAGTCATAAGACCCCTACAAGGGGGGTCCTGTTCCTGCTGGGCCAATTGAAGATTGAGACAGAGCCCCCACCCATAGTCTCAACCAGCCATCTCTGCTCCGCCTCATACATTATCAATAAACTTCTTCGCACTATGTATTTGTTGGTGTGGTCCTAGCTAGTGAATTCTATTTTAAAGCACTCCATGTTGATGACATGACAGTGCAGGGAGAGATCTGCTCTCTCAAACATTACGCACAATTTGAAACAGTTTTTCAGATACTTTAAAGTGCACTGTGTAACTTTTCTGGTAAGAGTCTAACACTTGGTTGTGTCCGTAGAGATAAGGAGATTGTTTTCCCTGGAAAGTACCTCAGTGTGGCATTAAATTCCATTATTCCAGGTGTTTTTTCCAATAAAACTGACCTTGAATAAGAAGCATTCTACTGTCAGCGGTCCGCCTCTCCACAGATCTGACCTGTAAATTGGCAGAGTGCTTGTCTCTTGGAAATAGATCAGTTTAATACCACAGGGTGAAAAATTCCAGGCAAAGCAACACAATCTGATCTGAAAGTTCCACAGTGCATCTTTAAACAAGTGTTTCAACAAAGTAAATGTGTTTTGTCAGATTCAAATCTCTGTACATTAGAGAAGTTGCAGACCAGTGCCAGGTAAAAGTTATGGAACTGAGCAATTTGTACATTTCTTTTGGTAAAATCTTTAATATAATGAATTTAACTTTTTAGTCAAAAGAATTTTTCAACCTGTCAGAGGCACTTTAATGCGCATTTGACAGATTTATATATTATTATCATAATCATATAATCATCATCATCATCATCGTTCTCTAAATGTTCAATTAAGGAATTTTATATTTTAAATCATTTTAGAGGGGTCATTTTGAGTTGTTTATCGGCTGAATAATAAAACAAACAAACAAAAAACAGCACAAATCATAGTTGCAGCTTATTTGTCGCATGAAAGTCACCTCTCCAGTGACTTGTCACTTGGTTTGTGCTGGTGGACAGAGTCTGTGCTAAAGATTCATCACAACAGATTTTGTGAAGAAAAGTGCAGGACGTAGCACTGAGTGTCTTCAACTGTCACCAGTTCCACCCAAAATACAGAGACAGTTTATACACAAGGAAGAAAGTAACATTATAAACTGCCACCAAAAATATAAAACTAGAAAAGACTAGGCAAACTTCTTAGTAAAATCTTAAATCTAATGATGTTAACTATGTTTAGTGGAATTAGTCTAACCACTCGTGTGCACTTCAAAGCCCCACATGCACCACCTCATCCAACTATTTGACTCAAATAAAAGCATTTATTTCATAATTACTCTTTTTATTTCAGGAATAACCATCGAAACATGTGCTTTTACAATGAGCCTCTCCACAAACCTGACTTGTCACTTGGCCTGGTACAGCAGCTTGTTGTTTTGTTAGAGATGTTCTCACTTGGACTTAAATATTCCACACTATTGCATTAAACATATTTATGTTTGTATTTCACTTTTGTGGTGGGGTCAATGCAGTTCACCTGTACCAATATCATATAATATTAATAATGTCAAAATATATTTGAATGTATTCATTTGCAGTACATCCCAAAGCTGAAGACAGCTGTCACAGTCACAGCTGAAGAGCTGCACATGTTCCTTGGGTCAGAAAGAGTTAGGCCAAAGTCACACAAGACACTGGGCTTAGTCCATTTCTACAGTTTGTAGAGTCTATGGTTTAGAGACTAAAGTGAAAAAATACATTGCACACTCAGATGACCCATGTCCAAAAGCATTTTTATTTTCAAAATAACATTTTGGCAAAAAAAAAAACTTGGACCACAGCACACAGTCAGACTAAACAGAGAGAGAAACATGCAGTGGGCGCCCTCTGCTGGAGAACAATGTCCTACGTCTCAATGTTCATGCGAAACACAAACTCCCTGCTCAGTAGAATGGACTCGAAAAGAAACCTCATGCTCGAATAAAAGATTCAGATAAACAGAAATCTCTTTATTATTGTTATTGCCATGTCTTTTATAAAAACTAACTTCACTACAAATACTCAGCTAACAGGAGATCAAAAAAATGTAAAATTGTGAAATTTGTGAAGCTAATTAATTTGATTAATATTTTGTCAAACATTACACAAGGAAATTTGAAATTCATCTGATCCCATTTACAAGCAAGCAAGGGTCATTTCATGAAAACTCATTTCGTAAATTAAAAAAAACCAACAACCTTAGACTTAAATTGAATAACAACATGTTGCATTCACAGGTCTTATAATGCACAAAATTAACTCCTGTGCTTTAAATTATGTTTTGTTTCATTGTTTAATCCTTTTATTTACTCTGTCATCTCCAATGCTCAAAATGCTCTGTTCCACCTTGTGATGTCATGTAGAGATGAGGAAACATTTTTAACATTCATCAGAGAATACAGGTTCTTTAAGTAAGACATTCAACATTCAACAAATACCTCAAAGGCAAAATAAAAGTGAATCACTTTTTTGATTACTGCATCAAATCAGATTTAAATCTAACTCATAGAAATATCCTGAGGTCAGACTGAAAGTGTAATCATATTTCAGAGTAGTTTTAGTTTAAAGTTTTTTAAGCTGAACAAAATGTGCACTGTCTCCATACTGAAGCCCGACTCCAGCGTACAGCGGCTGAGTGAAGGTGGCCTGGACTCTGTGGATCAGTGTCATAGTATCACTGGACACACTATAGAACGAGAGCACCCCCGCAGACTGGTCCAGGTAAACCCCGACTCGAGAAGACCTCAGACCTGAGACCCTGCATCTGGTATTGTTAAACCAAAAGAAACATTTTTTTCTGTCTATTTCTAAGGACCAAGATTTATTATCATATCCAAATACTCCAGACCCTGAGGTTCTTTTCTTGTATGAAATAGCTATTGTAGGAGTTCCCCTCACCAGCACCTCCCAGTAAGAGCGCCCTCTCAGCTCTTCTCTGCTCAGGACCTGACTCACAACATATTCCTCCACTTCATGCTGTGGTTTCCTCTTATGAGTTACTGTTCTGTTCCCCTCTGACACTGACAGCCAGTTTGTCTTTAGGTCCAGTGTAATGTCCTTTGCATATTTTAAGAACTGTTTTCGGGTGCTGGGTGCAGATGGAGGCAGTGAGTCGTCAGGTTCTGATAGTAAAGCCTCAACGTCAATATCTGTGAATATGTCTGGTTCTGCAGAGATGTATTGCAGAGGGTTTGGCAGTTGGAACTCACTCACAGAGAGCTGGAGTTTGTCTTTGAGCTCCGATACAGCTCTGGTCACCTCCTCAAAGAAGTGTTTGTGTCCTGTCTGGACCCTGGTCCCTGTCCTCTCTGTGGGCAGTGAGAGGCAGTGCAGGATAAACTGGTTGTGATCTGAGTTGTTGGACAGTTCCTCCAGCTCTGAGAGGCTCTTCCTCAGCTCTGTGGCCTCCTGCTGCAGCTGGTCCTGGAGCTCTTGAACTCGGCTCAGTTGAATTTTCTCCTGAGTTAGAATCTGCTGCTCCACTTCAGAGCGTCTTTTGTCCAGGAGAAGAGCTATCTCTCTGAACATGTCCCCACTGCGCTGCACAGCTCTCTGTGCAGAGCTGCTGATGTCCTGGGCCTCCTGTTGGAGCATCTGGAGGTCTGCATCTTTGTCCTGGAGGTTCTGGAGGACCAGGTCCTTCTTGGCGTCCTGCTCTGCCTGTCTCCGAGCCCTCTCTGCTGCACAGGACACTACATCGTGACCCTTGTGATGGTCCACAGAGCAGAGGAAGCAGAGGAGCTGCTGGTCTGTGCGGCAGAACAACTCCATCACTTTGTTGTGTCCCTGGCAGATGTTTTCCTGGAGTTTGTGGGACGGCGTCACCAGCTGGTGCCTCTGCAGCATTGCCACAGTGTGGTGAGGCTGGAGGTGCACCTCACAGTAAGAGACCACACACTGTAGACAAGACTTGATGGCCTTCAGCTTCCTCTCTCCAGAGCACACATCACACGCCACGTCCTGGGGTCCAGCACATTGGTCAGCAGGGGACGCTATCTTCTTCAACTGCTCCACTAACGCTGATAAGATGATGTTTTTGCCAAGGACAGGCCTAGAACGGTATTTTTTCCTGCACTCTGGACATCTAAAGTTCACCTGTTGATCCCAGTAGTTCTGAATGCAGCTCTTACAGAAGCTGTGTCCACAGGGAATAGTCACCGGCTCCTTCAGTAAATCCAAACAGATGGGACACGTTAAGGTCTCCATGTCGAGGACTTTATCTGCCATGGCTCTCTCGATCTGACTGAGCTGTTTCCCTTTGACACAAATCAAACTTATGCTCTGGCTCAGGCACCGCCCTCTGAGGAAACAGGAAGTACAGACGTGTAGAGTTTAACTGTGAGCAGGGATGATACACACTCTTTAATCACTTGACTAATGCTTAAGCCATAAACCTAGTTTCCCCTCATACAGTTTTATAGTTCAGCTTCAACTAGCCTATCCTTACATTTAATCAAAGGCTCAAACTAAAATGACTTTACAACACACTTTTTCTCTTTAGATATCAGTTGTTATTTTTGATTATTGAAATGATTTGAATACTACACTTCTTATATGTTTATTGTGTCGCTATAGAAGGAAAAGGACAAGTTCTTCTCATGTAAAGTCACAAGGGTAAAGTCCAGAGGTGACTCACTGTTAGTGGGCGTGTTATTGGTTTATTCAGACTGTTTATCTCACTTTTTATGGAGTTCAGAAACTGCTGGGTCCATGGAAGTGAAAAGTTAAAATCACTCTACGGAACATTCTCCGTGGACAAATAAATAATGAAAAAACATCCTTGGTCTTTGGAGTATGTTGTCACAATGTTGATGGTGTAGATGAGTTGTCATTACAGCCAGAGGAACCACCTTTCCAAAGAGACAAGCACGAGGAGGCTCATCCAGGCCAAACAGAGTCAGGTTTGTGGAGATGCAAGCCCACTTACAGTAAGGACACATGTTTCAGTGCACTAAAAACAAAACCATTAGGGGAAAATGTTTGCCTAAATTGTGAGATGTTGTAATCTTTAAATCAGAGTCATGCCAAATGTATTGATAGTGTACATTTATAACACTTAAACAGGGAAATTAACAGTAATAAAGGTAGAGTTAAAATATAAAACATAGTAAAACACAAGGAAGTATAATACCAAGATGTCTTTGTGTGTAACTCTCAGACAGTACACTTTGCTGGGAATGTGGGACAAGATAAATGAACGCTGTTAAAAGGGACGCGTTACATTCTGTGTACACCAACAACTTAGTATTTCTGGTGTACTGACAATTTGTGCTAAGAAACTTATTTAAACTCACTAAAGCCAAACATGAAAAGACCACTGAGGCACTGTCTCTAAGGTTTCATGTAGCAAAAAGCAACAAAAGTCCAAAGAAGAAAATGTTTTTGAGCTGATTTATTCACAAACATGGAGCAAACTCACAAGTAGATTTTCTGTTACAGCTGCAGTTTTCCACCTTCACCTTCTTAAATGCAAATAAACCCTGTGACCCAAGACATGGTAAAATCTGACAATTACCAAATTAAATTAGCAGAAATAATGTAAACACTGAATAATAAATCTATGCTAAATAAAGACAATAACCACAATTTTACCTTAGCAAAAAATATGTATATAAACCTCGCAAAAACATAGTCTAGATTTTAATTGAACATAAATAAATCAAGACAGATAGCTCCAATAGTGTTCAAATAAAACAGCAGATTCTGGTTGGCCCAAACTTAATTTCAGCCTTTGTCAAAGTTGTAAACCAGAAAATCTGTGAATTTTACTGTGCAGGCCTCTTATGACAGTCTCTATTATGTTTAGTTCTGACCTAGGACGACTTGTGATAGATACACTGGCACAAATTTACTGAAACACATTTCCAGTTTGTGGATTTGAGTTCACAAATCAGTCAAATTGTAGTCTTCCTCTTCTTCTTTTTCTCTTTCTTCCATAGTAAACATGAGCGGATTTGTACTAATAAAAGCAGGATTTATAATTACTGTATCTCCACAAGTGTTAAGCCCTACTCCAGCGTACAGGGGCTGAGTGAAGCTGGTGTGGACTGTGTGGAGCAGGTTCATCGTGTGATCTGTTTCAGACACACTGTAAAAGCAGAGTGTCCCTGCACAGTGGTCCAGGTAAACCCCAATTAGAGACGATGTTTGACCTGTGACTTCGGTCTGGACCGAGTTATGACAAAATGTATATTTATTGTTCTCCCGCCTTAAAGCCCAGGATTTGTCATTCCATCCAAATGCACAGCTAACAGCACTCCCGTCTCTCTCGATGTCTTTGTATGTAACAGCTACACACACCCACTTGGCCTCACTCACATCCACCTCCCAGTAGGAGCGCTCAGTCGTCCCACATGTGCTCGTAACCTGACCCCAGTATGTGAATCGCTCTGGATCATCCTGGTACTGCACTGGTTCCCTCACAAATGTTACTCTTCTACTGTTTTCCTCTGACAGACACAGCAGAGAATTTGCAGTTTTTGGGTCCATTTCAGTCGGTTTTCTGAAAGGCAACAAGTGGTCCAGCCTGGTGGTGGGCATAGATGGAGGCAGTGAGCTAGTAGCTTCCTCAGATCCTGCCAGTTTAAACTGCCTTAACACAAGCTGCAGTTTCTCTGTGAGTGCTATCACAGATCTAGGTATGTTCTCAAAGATGCATCGATGTCCTGTCTGGACCCTGGTCCCTGTCCTCTCTGTGGGCAGTGAGAGGCACTGCAGGATAAACTGGTTGTGATCCAGGTTGTTGGACAGTTCCTCCAGCTCTGAGAGGCTCTTCCTCAGCTCTGTGGCCTCCTGCTGCAGCTGGTCCTGGAGCTCTTGGACTCTCAGTTGGATTTTCTCCTGAGTCAGAATCTGCTGCTCCACTTCAGAGCGTCTTTTGTTCAGGAGAAGAGCTATCTCTCTGAACATGTCCCCGCTGCGCTGCACAGCTCTCTGTGCAGAGCTGCTGATGTCCTGGGCCTCCTGTTGGAGCGTCTGGAGGTCTGCATCTTTGTCCTGGAGGCCCTGAAGGAGCCGGTCCTTCTTGGCGTCCTGCTCTGCCTGTCTCCGAGCCCTCTCTGCTGCACAGGACACTACGTCGTGACCCTTGTGATGGTCCACAGAGCAGAGGAAGCAGAGGAGCTGCTGGTCTGTGCGGCAGAACAACTCCATCACTTTGTTGTGTTCCTGGCAGATGTTTTCCTGGAGTTTGTGTGACGGCGCCACCAGCTGGTGCCTCTGCAGCATTGCCACAGTGTGGTGAGGCTGGAGGTGCACCTCACAGTAAGAGACCACACACTGTAGACAAGACTTGATGGCCTTCAGCTTCCTCTCTCCAGAGCACACATCACACGCCACGTCCTGGGGCCCAGCGCAGTGGTCAGCAGGGGGCGCTGTCCTCAACTGCTCCACTAAATCAGCCAACATAATATTTTTCTTCAGGACGGGCCTAGTTCTGTATCTCTTTCGGCACTGTGGGCAACAGTGTCTCTCCCGCTCTTCAGGCCAGCATTTCTGAATGCAGCTCTTACAGAAGCTGTGTCCACAGGGAACAGCCACCGGATTCTTCAGTAAATCCAAACAGATCGGACATGTTAAGGTTTCCCTTCTGAGCACTTTGTCTGCCATCGCTCCCTCGATAATGACTAATGACAATAACTGTTTCTGTTTCTGTTCGGGTGTAGCCGCACCCTCCATTTGCGGAAGTACATTTATTATTATATTATTATTATTTATATTTTTGTATTTAAAAAATCAAATATTGAGCGTTAAAGTTTCCGAAACAGATTTTAAATAAAATTATAATTATCTTGTGGTCATTAGTTACCACGGAGCTGATTATCCCCAAGCTTTCGAACTTTTTTTTTTTTTTTTTTTTTGTCACTATGTAAATATCTTATATAATAGATTAGTTGTTAATAGTTAATAGTTTGGATTTTTTTTATCTTAAGAAATAAGATTTTTGTAGCAACAAGTTTCACCATGAAAAATCCATGAGCCGCTGTAGTGCGCCCTCAAGTGGCCACGTTTATTACACTAAAGCATACCTGGGTTAAGACTCAATTTCCCGTGAACACTAGCGCATTGTTTAGTCACATGACTCAATAATCACGTGTCTCCTCCATCATGGCTCCCGCTGTCACCGCGGAGGATTTCTCCAACTTACAACTTCTTCTAAAGGTCTTTTCATTCAGTTCCTTTTTAAAGCAAATAGCACGACATATCTGTCTTAGTTTAGTGAAAAACGCTATTCTGACGTCGTTGGATAAAGCTATATAAGAGTTCGAGTTAACAGGAATGAAAGCAGGAAATGTGGCTTTTTTTTTCTTTGCACGAAAAATAGCAGTAAATGAATCAACACAGTTTGAACCAAAGATCATATTCATACAGTATTGTGGTAAACTGTCACAATGTGCTCAAATCTGTGTCTAAATGGAGTGGCTGAGGGTCACGTAGAAAGTGCTTAAAGCTGCACTGCGTAACATTTAGTAACTCTAGTGGAGGGTCCGGCATTTATTTAATGTCATACCATGGAATTCTTTTAGCTTTTCAGTATTTCAGTTGGTTTTCATTTGATAATAATATTTGAATAATTTCATCTAATTTAAATTGTGGAGTATAAATGTCACTTACTGTCTATATTTACATTTTAAGCATTTGTTTTGACCAGTGGGGGGCACTATAGTCTCCTGCCTTAATAAACTGTAATACACAATAAATTTTCCTTTTTTCATATCGAAAACAACAGTAGTAATGAGAAGTAATAAGAATCATTTTTCATTTACATTTCTAGTCCTTTACGGTATAAAAAAAAAAAAAAGACAAATTCCCTTACGGGGACAATAAAGTGTACCTTAACTTTTGACCCTGGCCTGTCTGTTGTTGTAAGATGTGAGTATCCACACATGAGGACAAACATGCACCTCATTTGTAAATGAGTCGAACTTTACTTTGTTTTCTCTTGAAGGCGCCGTCTAAAGACGCAGTGAGAGAAGTGTGTGTGCATAGTCACCGAGGTCCAAGTCGACTCCTCACTGAAAACACAGCAGCCAAATTCAGTATCTCCTCCTCCCAGGCCGCTCAGGTAACACGAAGCACAATGAAATCTGTTTGAGAAGGCATTACAATCTACTGACAAAGTACTGACAAATGACAGGATTATGAAAGGGCTGATATTACACTTATTTCTACTCTATTCTAATCTATTCTCTCAATCAGAAAACACTCTGTTCCAACTTGTGATGTCATGTGGCAATACAGGAAGTGCTCCACTGGTTTTAAACTTCATACACCTTCACGAGAATCATGGATGATTTCACCCCTGGAATTGCACTGGAATCTCTGCTGAACTAAACGTGAAAGGAGCTGTTAATTTGAAAGCTACGGTTTCATGACATCACAAGGTGGAACAGAGTGTTTTGAGTTTGCGAGATGTAGATAGACTAATAGATAATAAACTGTTATTCAAACATTTGTGAATGAAACAAAACACAAGTCCAGGTCTGTTTTTGAGGAGGTAACTACATTCTAATATGGCTCAAATCTCACAACAGTCAATTTTACGCAATATACGACTTTTAAACTATTTATTATTGAGTCAACATAATCTCCTGTCTTATACTGCTTAAAAACTGTTGACAATATATGTTTAGATCTGTAAATATTCTGAAGTACATTGTTGTTCCATTTTGTCAGTTCCTGTTTATTTTTGTCCAAACTTCTGAATGTGTTTAAAATTTTGAAGATAATGCTATTATCTAACCATAAATCGCTAAGACATAAAACAAAAAAAAACATAATTGCAGTGATGATGCTATTACATTTATAATGAGTAATTAAAACACAGTATTCTGTATTTATTTGTTTTTCATGTATTTTTCTTGTTGCAGTTGGTTGAGTCTCTGCACGCTCTCTCCCGTCACGTCGTCTTCCATAATCTCACGTCTCCAGAGCAGATCTTGGCCGTTTTTCCTGAATCATTTCACTCAAGCCTCAAAAACCTCCTCACCAAAATCATACTGGAAAACAGGTGTGCATAAGAGCTACACACTCTTGGTCCTTCTCTCTTTGCTGTCACCATTACAAAGATATGCATACAATAAAATGTTTAATTAAACTCCGAGACTTTGACCACTTTTCCTCAAACTGTAGTGTGTGGTGTGTGTATGTGTTCAGGTGGAACCTGGACAGATCTCCAGTTAGTGAGCTCATTTACAGTCCACTAATTTTAGATTTTATCTACTTTTTGGTTCTACTTTGGATCATTTCTTGTTTAAAACTACAATGACACTGATGTAGTCGACGCTTAAACCTGGTTTAGACCTGGTTTAGACCTGGTTCAGACCTAGAAATAGCTGTAGTATAGACCTGGTTTAGATCTGGTGGTACTATCTGGAAAGCGAGATCTTTTCTTTGGTGGTACTTGGTCATTTTTCACAGTGTGACATTAATCTTGCCTATCATGGAGTGATTAATAATTGCAAATCTATATTTTTTGTTTCAGTTCAACCTGGAGAACAGAAGCTCTCAGTACTCAGAGTGAGTAGAAACATGCAGAAAGTCTGCTTAATGACAATTCAATTAAGTAGTTGGTTTAAAAAGTTTTCTTGTGCATGTGTTTAGTTTCACCGCCGCAGTTGAAGGAGATGGACTGGAGAGTGGACCTGGTGACCAGCTCAGAGTCGGTCAGTCGAATGGCCGTCCCCACCTGCCTCCTGCAGCTCAAGGTTAGAACACAACTCACTTTTACATAGAAATATTATGTTAAGTCTATTTTGATGAACTTTAAATATGTAAATGAAAAATTTAAAATAGTATCTTTGATTGATTTATGCATATTTGTGTAATCTTGTATTGTCCTACATTGGAAGTTTGAGAGGGTCATATACATGGATGATGGATGATGATAGTGATGTAAACAGCTGCAGTACATCTTTTTAAATCAGTATTGCAGTTTTTAATAAACAAAATATGAAATCATAATCTACATGTTATTTATGTCTTTAAGTGGTACTTCAGCACACTCTTATTTGTATTTATCAGATGGAGGACTCATGTTGCCATGGTGATGAGGCGGTCTCCACAGTGACAGTGGAGCTCAGTCGAGAGTCTCTGGAGACGATGTTGGACGGGCTCGGGCGAATCCGGGACCAGCTGTCTGCGGTCGCCGGGAAATAAGGACAATTCGCTCAATTTTGGACATATAAGGAGCTTTTCCTGTTGGACTGATTTCATGTTACTTTTCCAATATTTGTATGGAAAAAGGACCAAACAATTAGCAAATCTGATGTGATAGGTAAAGAACAAGTACAAACACAAGCAACATGGAAGTCTAACTGTGGTGTTACATTTTTATGCTTTCATTACACACACATTACACACCTGGTGGTAGTGTACTTCTGTAGCCACAGCTGCCCTGGAGTGATTGCACCTAGAAATTGTTTTGGGTTGATGGAGGAGGCTCTTCTTTTAAATGTTAATGTTTACAGTTTCTCTGTGAACTGAATAAAAACAAAAAATATAAGCACCATATATAAATGTTGATTTTTTTTTCCTCCCTCATATCATTCATCCTTAATAGCTTAACCATTTGTGGCAGTTATTGGTTGCATTAGAAGGCAATTACAGATTTCACAGTCAGTGTGATGTATAACAATACAGCCACAAGGGGAACTAAACCAATCAACTGTAAATCGATCACTGCTGGCTGAGAGGTTGATGGTTTGTTGTTTTAATTATGTTACTTCAAAGAAATCAAGTAAAGTCCTTGTTGAATAGTGTTTGGTGGTCACATTGAAGGCACCACTGTGATTCCCTCCATGTCCAGTTCCACTGAGTGAACACTGAAATCTCCCAGGCCCTAAAACACAGACAGATGTATACAATCATAGTGGAATAAAATTTTTTCAAATATGTAAACTCCACACAAGGGCTCTAAACATCTATGGCCATGGAATCAAGCCAGCGATGCCACTAGGCTAAGTTACAGGTCAAATCTATGTAATGGTGACTCACAGTAACAATGAACGTTTTTTAGCAACAAAACACCTGTAACTGAATATATTATGCAAAAGGTTTAAAGCCATTCTGTGGAAAAAAGCACAGCAACATGTAGTACCCTTCATCAGTAAAGTTACTGTGTGCCTCTTTATAAAAGAATCCTACAAACACAGTCTTTAACACGGTGTCGTGTACCGCCCCTCGGCCACAGGAGAGCTCACTTGGGTGGGGTAAAAAGATGAAGGTTTTGGCGTAAATTCCATTGAAGGGCTCCTGACATTCAGATGAAGATGTTCATAATGCTTTATTTTAGTAAATGGATAGCTGTTGGAGCATTACAGATTAAAAGTGATTCATTTAGATGATAGAGGTATTTTTGTGACCTATGTTAGCCTAAGATACTTGTTTTGTTTCGTTCTAATCTGATTTGTTTCTTCTACTTTGATTTGTTTAAATTCTTTCAACTTAATTTCTAGGTTTGGGTTGTTTTACATACATTTTTGTAACCATTATGTTTGTGTGCAGGAAAGATAAGGACTTTCTGTTCTTTTGACAGTTGACCCTTGTTTGACACTGGTGTGTGAACTCTATGTGCTATACGCTGTATAGGAGGCCTGAAGACAATGCGGGTGCGAACTTCCTGCTCCTTCAACAAAGCAGAGTGGCAGTTAAGCTTCGCACCTAAGGAGGGGGAGAGTTGTTAATGGCTGATGTTTGCGGCTTTTAAAAAGTGTTGCCTGTACTTGGAAAAACGTGTGTTATGTATGACGTTCTGATCGCTTTGCATATACCTGGGTGGAGTCCTGTGACCTTAGATAAATACTGAAAAATCTGCATAAAAATAGAGATCCTGATTTTGGTTGGCATTGACCCCTCCGGCAGTAACTCCAATTCGGACTAGGCTGTGCTTTATAGCTTTCCTGGTCACAGGGTAATTTCTCCAAAAGGGTACTTGCATAGTGATTTGTCCTAATTATTTTTGTATGAGCTTTCTGGTAATATAGCGACTACTGAATGAGCTGGCCATAAGTCGCCCTGTCGCGAGCTCTCCGGGCCTAAAAACCCTGAGTGAGCAAACTTTTGCGTGACAATAAACAGTGACGCCAGCGACAGGAGTAGTGCATAAGGTAATAAAAAGCTGAAAAATAAGACAAAGACAAATCACTTGTTGGGATCTTTTGTTGAGTCTCTCCCTTTAATTAATACATACATACTTCTACCACGAGCAAGTCCAGTCATCCTTGGTGAGTTTTTACAAAAAAAAAAGCAATGTTGGGGGAAATTTTCTAATGCAATGTATTTGATGCAAAGCTAAATCTGGTTAGATGTTTTGAGGCACTGCTAAGGATAAGTGAATATTTGCAATGTTTTTGGTGTAAAGCTAAATCTGGTTAAATTCTTTGAGGCACTGTCAAAAATTAGTTTTGGGCAAATATTGTCAGATAGAGTATAGAGTATGTCATAGGGTGGCTTCTAAAGCTAAGTGAAACTGTAAGTGTTCCCTAGGTGATACTTTAAGAGTTGTTAAAGTTACTTGTATGGTGTTTCTTAAAGTTAAATTATATTTTTGAGTGTTGTTAGTTATTTACATTGTGGTTTTAAAGTTAAATGATATTTTTGAGTGTTGTTAGTTATTTACCTTGTGTTATTAAAGTTAAACGATATTTTTGAGTGTAGTCAGTTATTTACCTTGTGTTATTAAAGTTAAATGATATTTTTGAGTGTAGTCAGTTATTTACCTTGTGTTATTAAAGTTAAATGATATTTTTGAGTGTGGTTAGTTATTTGCATTGTGTTTTTAAAGTTAAGTGATATTTTGAGTGTTATTAGAGTGATTTGAAAAAGGTAGTGAGACTCAGACTGCGTAAGATAGTCCTGGTTTTTCAACACACAGTCACATACCAGTGTATTGTTGAGTAAATGGATGACTTCCTCTCTCTGTCGGGGCAGTTTGGTCAGGACGTAGAGGAAGCCCCCTCCTCCAGCTCCAGCCAGACTCTGTCCCAGCACCAGGGGCCTCAGAGCCTCCATCATCAGACGCACAGAGGCAGGCTCACAGCCCGGAGCCATGACCTTCTTCTGCTGCCACGAGCGACCCAGACACACTCCCAGACCAGAGAGAGAGCCTGGGGAGGGATTCAATAGTATTATTACATTGTATTCTAATCAAAATGACTTAGAGCCTCCTATCATTGGGTCCCGACAAGTGAAAAAGTGAAGGACTAAGCAGAAATAACTCCTCTGTAAATCTCACAGACACAGTTCTTACCCTCCACACAGGCTCTGGCACATTCTTCAGCATTGGCCACTAACTGCTGTGCATTCTGCACCATGTGAGGCAGGCGGCTGTACCAACTCCGTACCACATCCTGTACAATATACAATGTCAGTATAAAAATATATATTATATATACATGTATATAACCACTAAACCAGGACTATCCCAGCATTAGCACCAGTGGCAAAAAACTGTCATTGTGTCCTTAGGCAAGACACTTCACCCACATTGCCTAGTATGAAAGTGGTGTGAGCGTGAGTGATGATGGTGGTCGGATGGCGCAGATTGGCAGCCTCGCTTCCGTCAGTCTGCCCCAGAGCAGCTGTGGCTACAGTCGTACCTTACCACCACTGAGTGTGGAGTGACTGAATAATGAACTGTAAAGCGCTTTGGGTATCTTGAAAGGCGCTATATAAATTCTATCAATCAATCATTATAAACTTAGTTGAATTTGAAACTTTTGCTTATTTCTGATATTGCTGTAGTAAAGATCTGTAAATTTACCTGCAGTAAGTTGCGAGCGAGCCGCGTCTTTCCAGTGTAGACCAACAGGAGGTGCTGTTCCAGAGAAACCAGGAAGTCATGTGACAGGCTGAGCCTCTGCACTTGGACCTGAAGGGGGAGCTGTGCTTGGGACCGGCCCACTTTAACCCCACCCACCAAACCTCCAACCTGGTCCTGCCAACCTCCACCTGCAAAACAAAAACTAAATATTTAGTACTAAAAGACATTTAAATTATGTTACGCTAAACGGACTTTTCTAACTCCTCATCAAAAAGATATCTGCAGTGGTATTGTTGTGAAGCAGCTTTGTGTTACCATGAAAAGCACTATATAAAACCAAAGTATTATTATTATTTTGCTTCATTCAAGTTTGTTTCATTTATGCTGTATAGTCCTGTTTGTCTAAGCACTCAAAAAACACATGATTTTGAATTTCCCAGGATTTTTACTTCACAGATAAAAGTCTAGGAGTCTCCTGTGCTGTTTTTATGTCCATAAATCAAAATCTGAGCATTTCTGCTGTCAAATCACCTTCATTACACTGCATGCTTCAGTTAGTAGGTCAGCAAAATGTGCTGTGGGTTTTTTTCAGTAGTTATTCCTTCTACAGCAGATGGCATCCAAACTTTGGTCCATTTCTGTGGACCATGTATGAATTCCTTTTTGTCTCAGGGACAAACCTGTAGTGAGGATCTGCTCCAGGTACAGCACGTTGTGGATCAGAGAGTCTGTGTCATAGGTCCGACCAGTGCATCTGTAAACTGCAGCCAACAGCGCCCCCGCCAGGATACTGCTGGTTCCTACAAGATAACGATGCTGTTGTTAATACAGACTTGCATTTTTTGTATTACACATTTACAGATAGTTTGGTTGTATTTAGATATAAAGTTTGTTGGTTAAAGGCTCTGTACCCTGTATCAGAGTAAAGTGTGCCTTGTCCTAGTACAGATTTACTGTATAAGCAGCTCTTGAGACCAAACTAGGTCCACTGTGTACTGTCTGCATCTAATTATGAAGTGTTTTATTGTTCAGTACTCAGGAAGTGTGCTGTTAGCATGCTATTTGCCATTAGCTTCACCATGACAGCAAAACTCTGGTCTGGCCTCTAACAGTTGTGGCTAGGTTAATATTACTGAATACAGATGGAGATGTTTGTTTTAATCCTGTACGTTGTTAAGTGGTGTATTTGATGATTCTGTGTTTCTTACCAAGTCCAGAGCCAGTGGGGAGAGAGGACCAGCTGTGCAGCTCCATGCCTCCTCCCCAAAGCTGCAACAGTTGTGGCCCCAAAGCATCATGGGAGGACAGAGACACCACCCCACTGCAGACACACACAGCCTTAAGCAAAGCACCTGAAAAAGACAACATAAGGACAGAGATTCAGACAAGAGTATATCACTTGTAATATGCTTATGTAAGAATTGACTAGGGCAGGGGCAGAGACTGTCATCAGGACTGTGGCAAAAGATACTGAAATCTAAATAAAAATTGAATAATCAAGAACCATGGCCTCAAAAATAAACAAACTTATTTCTTTGTAAAAATGTACAGTTGGCACACACTTTAGTAAGAGGATGTGATGAGTGGAGTGAGGCTATATTTTAAATACAGACATGACATTTTCAACATGGCATCACTGTTCTACCTGGTGCATGGGGTTGACAGTAATCCTTCAGATCTTCCAGACTTTCACACAGCGTCTCAGTGGAAACGCCACTGTCCCGTCCCCCAGAATGACTGACCAATAGGAGGTGAGGTTCTTTGATGCGACGGGCTCGAGCCCCAATAGGACGCTGCCCGTCCACTTTCACAGCAACGTTGGTCACAGAGCCGCCATGTTCAAATGCGATAGGAGGAGTGTCACTCCAACCTCCTGCTCGTTCACATGAGACAAGTGGAGTTAGTTTTGACCTGCTGTAGCCCTGCTCTAAATGGGTTTTAATTGGTAATATCCTCCTGAAACTAACTGTTTTAATACTCCATAAGCCCTGGTGACCTATAATAGACCTGATAATATATTATAGATATAACAAGTAAGTATGTAGCAAATAAACTCTATGTACGGGTATATGGTGATTTTCACAGATAAAAATCACAGTGCCTTACGGAGAGCATGCACTCCACATGACAACAGCAACAAGTAAAACAGGGTAAAAAATAATCACAATATTCATATGGTACAATATTTAATGTGACATTTTGAGGAAACAAACAGAATTTTTGAATATGCTACTTTTTATTTTTGTTAACTTAACTTTAGAGTCCAACAGCAATGTGCCAAAAAAGCAAAAGATGTAAAAGTCATCTCCAAGTAGTAAAACGGGTCAAATTTGGCATGACTATAGTATTTTCCTGATCCCTTTTGCAGGTATGGCCTACTTGTTAATCATAAAATTAATATCAAATTCTGTTGAATATTAATATCATTATATTCTAAAATGTTATATAATTCCCATAAATATATAAATACATGGTTCAGCCCTAGACTCACCTGCCAAATCGAGTCTGGCTGGACAGTGCACCTCTTGCCACTCCTCGAGAGGCGGGAGTGTTCCTCGTCCAATAGAAATAAACCTCTGCGATGACATCACAGCCTGACGAAGCAACACCTGTCCCGCCCCTTCATAATGGCGAGCGGCCCGCACCAACAGATCCGGCCTGTAGAGGAAGCAATGAGAACGAAGAGGAAAGAAATAAAAAAAATGGTAGGATCTGAGAGGGGGGAAAAAATAAGACACATTTGCACCTCGCTCTTTGCCACTTCCTTTTCAAAAGCCTGAAGTGTCATGTGTTTATTGCCTGGTACAGATCATAGACAGTATAAAGAAGGGGGCAGCTCATTGCTCTGTTCCTAACCTTACCTTGATTTTGGGAAATGGGGTGAGTTTGGGATCATAAAGTGTGGGTTAATATGAAGATTTTCAGACCAAAATAACAAGCCTGACAGCAGCAGATACAGAGAGAGGTTTTTTTTCCACTTGAAAATTAATTGAAGCCAGAGTGGATATAGCTAGAAGTGTACCCATGCTCACTTCCCATTCTGAATGCCTAGTGAGTTAACTATGCCCATTTATACATAGAGGCTATGATACAGATGCAGACCCAGAAAGAATGTCTTTTTCAGCATTTAATGGGAATGTAAATGAAAACACACAAAATCACAGCAGTGAAATAATCGTGTTTTCTACCTGCAGAGCCACTTCTCTCTCTGCTGGGCCAAAGCTCGAACGCCCCCGCTCAGGTCCCCCTCCTCCAGCAGGCCGTACGCAGACCTCCAGGCCTCGTTTGCAGCCGGACCGCTCCTCAGACCCCCCTTTCCTCCAGCCAGAACCACCAGCACATCAGCCATGCAGGACAAGCAGCGCGCAGAGATCCCAAACTCTGAACCAGCGCGCTCCAGCTTCACCTCTGCACCACTGCCACAAGCAACTGCAGGCAAACACTTTACTTTACAATTTAAAGGTGCACTATGTGACTTTCTCTGGTGGGGATTCATCACCTGCTTGTCTTCATGGAGATGCCATTACTTTTTCTGGAATTTTCCATAGCACGGCATTAAACATGTTGCATTTATTCAATTATAGTTTTTATAGCTTAAAAACACTTGGAAAAACATGCTTCCTTTCTGTGAGCGACTTTGCCTCTTTCTAGACAAGTTTAATGCCATATTGTGGAAGTATCATCTCTATGGACAAAAACAGTGCATGTGTTTTTCATGTTTTTCCAATTCTGACTTGGGTTGGTGGGATTATGCCTGTGGTGATGAATACCATAGTTTTACAGGTATCAGTTTGTGAGAAGAAAAGTACAAAAAAAAATACAGGAAGTAGTAATACCTCCTTCTATGACATCACAGGTACAAATTCCACAATTTACACACCAGGAAGGCATGTTTCTGACAGTTCATTCAACAAAATAAAGGTATTGTCATTTATTTTTATTAGTCTAATCATAAAAAAAAATTTTAACTTAAGACTAAATTATGCCAAATTATGTTTTGGCATTTGTTTTAACTATGGTAATAACTGCAGACAAACTTCATTATGTTAGGATTTAAGATTGTAATTGGAACGCTCCAAACTATGTTTTCACTGCAGACATCCCCATTAAAAAGACACACAGTTCCTCTTAGTCCTTTTTAAAATTGTAGCTCAAAACCAACGGAGGCTGAACATTTTTGGACTTTCAGACTTACTGTTATCCAGAGTCTCTAACAGCGCCCCCTGCTGTCCTCCCATCACAGCGGCTCTAAAACAGGGCAGCAAACACGCGTCACTCCGTCCAGTCAGAGCGTCCCTCACTCTCCTCCGCCCCGACAGGTGCAGTAGCTCCTCCCTCCAGTATAGCTCCGCATCCTGTTGGGTCAATGACATCACTTCCCTCAGAGACAGTCTCCAGGCGTCTCTCCAGTTTTGAAGACCACTGGCTCCACCCCCAAGGAGCCAGGCCACGCCCCCCTCCAGGCCCGCCACACCTGCCGTGGGGCAAAGGACCGGGAACAACCGGGCTCCAAGCAAACAGCGGCGCTCGCCATGACACCACAGCTCCTCTGGCCTAAAGCACACCAAACAAATGGACTAACAATGGGAAAAGACTCTAGTACAGCTGTTAAAGGGCTCGTATTACACTATTTATCTAGGCTGAGTTCTCAAACTGAAAACAGTCTGTTCCACCTTGTGATCTCATGTGGTAATACAGGATGTACTCCACTGTGTTTTTACGCTCCATACATCTTCACTAGAATCATTTGGTTTGATTTCAGCCCTGGAATTTCTCATCTCTGCTAAACCAAACGTAAAAGATAACAACCTTCTAATGTGGCTTAAAGCTCACAAGAGTCAGTTTTCTCCTGTAATATAGAACATCTTAAAAGTGCCTGATTCTTTCCATGTATTTGAGCAAAATGTCTTGGCCTAGTATATACATGTAAGAAGCTCTTGATGTTAAAATGACTCTGCTGTGTGCTGCCTACATCCAACTATAAAGTGTAAACAGTTTGCAGTGGTCCAGCACAATCTCTGCTCTGGCCTCTGAGAGTTGTGCAATCATATTAAAGCTAACAACAACTAGCATGCTAACTGTACACTTCCTGTCCTGTCAGACAATAAAACAAAGAACAAATTCTGTTTTTCATGTTTTTAAGACGGTAACCATCAGGTACAATGCCGGTTCATGTTCATTGCTGATCATTTTGTTATAGTTTGTACTCTTTGGGGCCATTATTTTAGAACTACTTGAGTGTGCCACAAATGTATTTTCACAGCATGTTGTTGGGACACTACTATTTTTGACATGTTTTAATTTCACAGAAAAATAATAGTAACATACTGTATTCCTGTTCGGTTGAAGAAGACATTCCAGTTTTGGTTTAGGAATCTGGTACTGCTGTCTTCAATAGAAATCTGTGAAGGGGGAAGTTAAAAACATAACTACAATAGCCAATAACATCTAGTTCTATATAGTACTGCAGCCATTCATCTGCATAATTGTGGCTACGCGGCTATTAAAATAATCATAGTCATACTTTCATACACACTGGACTATACACACTCTAAAGCACAGACAAAAACCTTTTTATAACAAAGGTAGTGGCATTATTAAAATAGTAAAGAATAAACAATTTCTGACTTCCACCAATAATACAATTTATATGTAAATATTCGTAAATGTATCAAACTGCATCTGGTTTAAAATGTATTTCATCTCAGTGTACAATAGTAATAATTCATACTGAATTATTTCTGATCAACAGCTGATCAACACTCCCTCAGAGAGGGTGATGCTAACTGAATTCACTGCTCTGTCTGAACCTTTGCAACTCAAGTTAGCTGAGCTTTGTTTTAACACAATCTGACAATGTTTTTCAGTTAGTCACTCTCGCCTTTTTGTTGAAAATCAAACACATACACAGGTCCAGAATCGTATAGATCACAGGTCCTGAAAATGTGCTGTTTTAATCCATCTTAAAAAAAAATTGACAGCATTTCTTAATGTGTAATAACAATAATAATAATAATAATCAGGCCTAATTTTCTATTAATATTAAGATTGTCTACCTTCAAACCAAATACGAATCTCAACTATATAAAAAAATATAATGATTGTATTCAATATCTTAGTCATCACCTCTAAATTGTCATGTGCTCCAAATACAGTATAAACATTCAGCTTGAGCTCTCCCAGCACGATTCGATGTCCCTGGATGATGATGTCACGTGTAAACGCCAAATGTCTGATTGTCGTTGACGTGGACAAATCCAGGCCAGACAGCAAACAACCAGTGGGGATGTGTACAGTGCCCTGGAATAAAATACATTAAACATATTATGCAAAAACAACGCATTCTTTTGTTATTTCATCAGAGAAGGGTCAAATAGCAAAAGAAGGTAATGACAAGTCAAAGTACAGTTACTTTAAAGCGAGGGTGTGCAGCTCTCATTCTTGCTGGTTTAAAACAGGAACTACAATCACAAGTTCACAACTGATCAGAAAGCTGCTCTGAAAAGTAACAGCTCTTGCTCAGAGGGTACAATTAAATGGCTAGTAACAATCAGATAACTCAAATAATCAGATAACCCAATAATAAGATTAGATTTTTGTCTGATCAACAAAGACATGTGTCAGTTAAGCAGTGAGTTTTTAGAATTCATTAGACAAAGCACATTTTAAAATAAGCCCATTCTTTGCCACTGCCCTTTTTGCATAGCTCTATTTGCACATGTCTGAACAAGAATGAAACAGTTTATGTGGCATTTCACAAATCTGATAACTTCAAAAATCTGATGAAGCAGATCTTTGGAGTGTATCAATGACTGTTTATCTGAGTACAGTGTATATTTGTGACCTGTAGGTGGCAGTGTTGTATGACAGCTCCAGAGTCCACAGAAACGTCTCCCTCCAAAACACTGTTGATCACACGAGCCCCTTCACTGATGAGACCCTCTGTCTGCGGCACAAACATAAAGCACACAACATTATGTGGTGTTTACAACATGTTTGATGTAGAAAAGGTGTACATTTGACATGTCTAAAGCTTTAGAAGCGTTAGACGCTTTAGACAGTGTGAAGAAGTAGCTAAAAAAAAAAAAAAAACATATTCATAACATCAAGCCATAATATTTTATGATGGTTTTGTCACCTGTATGTGAGACAGAGTGTTCTTGTTGGTGGAGATGGAGCTCAGCCTCTGAATATGATCTTTCCCAGACAGAGTCAGGTAGTCATAGTGTCCACCAGCAACATAAACTGGAAGAGATGTGTTCACTTTAAATTGAAGTCTTTCAAATAAGGGCTAAACAATTCAGTCCTGAATTCATGTTGCTGTAGATCCATTTTGTGTTAAATGATGATTGTTTAAATTCAGGAGAAGACTATTCAGCGGCATTTTGATTTGTTTTTAAGACATAAATAAAACTGTTCAAAATGAGTAAATCTCTTGGGTTTTTTTCTTTTGATTGAATAGTTTGTCAAACTGGCCAGCCCTACACATAGCATACTGCATTTACCGCATCTCTTTAAAACCTTAGTCCCACCACCTGCCTGGAATGTTCCACAGTATGATGTTAAATCTGTCTTGCATTTATTAAATTATTGTCTGAAAATACCTTGAAAAGATTGCATTCTTATTCTGTAAACACTGTTAAAGTGCCCTCACCCAAAGTGAGTGGAGTCCCTCTCAGTATCTTCCACAGCTCTGTGCGTCCGCTCCTCACCAGCGCCCCCTGTGGTCCAGAGATAGAACTGCAGCCCGTTCTCTCCTTGTTCACAAACTGATGCTGGGTCTGGTCTGAGCACAGGCACATCAGTACATCCAGGAAGAGAGAGATCTGAGGAGGGACGGGGCAGAAACTCATTTTATTCACCTTCTTGAGCTCCTGCGTCAGCCTACGTTAAGAACTAAGACCTGATTTATTCCTGATACGGACCTGGTTTAGTCCTAGTTAAGATCTGGTTTAGAACATGAAAAGGCAATAAAGACTACATTTCCACTAGTACAAGTGTACAGCAGGACTACACTGTGCTCAGACCAGGACCAAACCGTTAGACTGACTTCATTATGCCATAAGTCAGTCTAACGGTAAAAGGTTCTGAAAATGGATTATAATTCACAAAAATAATGTCCTAAAACTTTCGGATCCCCCATAGTTAAAGCTGTAGTAACTCCAACACAAACCTAACATAGATATTACTATACTATTCTGTCTATTGCTCATTCATCAGTATAATTATTCCACTGTTATATGGGTGTTTACCTGTAGTGGTGGCGCTCCAGAGTCCAAGCCGAGGTAGGTGCATCCGTCCAGGGGAGGAGTCACGTGGGTCTGCAGCAACTTCTCAGAAACTCCCCTACTGAAGAACACTGGACCAGAGACCTACAGGCAACAGCACAATCAACTCTGCACTAAACCTACTATTTACTGTCCTCCTCTGTACCATACACATTATGACAATCTTTATACAATTCATGCATCAGATGTAATTTACAAACCATAGGCACTTTTCCATCAGATGTCACAGCTTGCTGAATCTGCTCTGTTGCTCCTTTGTAAATGATGTCTCTAACATTACCCTAGAGAGAAAATAAAAGACCAAAGGGTTAAATAAATATATAATAAATTTATAAATACAATTATACTAAAAATGATGTACTTACCTGTTCATCAGACAGATAGACTCCATGATTAGCAGCATAAGAGATGTCTCCAGGCAGCGCCAAAACCCGTACACCAAAGAAGCCCTCCCAAGACAGAGCTGACAGCAACATAGAAATACAAAAAGAAAGGTGCGGTATGTAACTTTTTCTGATTTTAACTTCATATTCTGTGCAGGATTTTGTTAATTGCAGCATAATGTGGGAAAATGTTCAAATCTGAAGTGAAACTCACACAAGTCTGGAGGCAGAGTGAGCATCATGTCCGTGCTACAGACCCACACACCAGGAGGAGAGCCGGGGCAGATCTGAAAAACACAAATATTTACATCATTATCACACCTTACCTTTACCTGAGCACCCACTTTTCAAAGTTTTAGTCATAACTGATTACTTTTTGTTTTGTTTTTATTAAATGTGAATAAGCAAATATATGGCAGTGACGAAAACTATGGTCAAATAACAAAATAACACTGGTATATTTACATGGGGAGTATAAATCCAGTAACAAGAATAATCATGTGGACACTTTTGTCATCAAGACAATTCAAGTCCCATCCAGAAACCATTTTTTATTTGATGGTACTGGCCATAAACACTGGGAAGTGATCCTAACCTGAGATGACCAGGTCCAGCCCCAAGAATAATCACATAACTCAATAATTAGATCAGTTTTTTGCTGTATAAAATACATTTTATTGTAACAGTTCTCATAATTTCAATCTTTAACATTTTCATTTTTGGGCATATTAGTTTGCCCTTGTCAAAACCTGCACACGTGGGAACAATCAGAAATCACACACCAGCTGGAACTACCTTTTCAATAGTCTCCAGGACTCAGAAGTCAGATAATGATCAGACTGCGTGTGTGCATGTAAATTTATTCACTGCTGTGTTCCTGTCCAAGTCTCACAGAGGACGACAGACAGACCTGATGGGTGAGGTGGTCCAGGAGCAGGTCCAGGCAGCAGACCGGAGCCTGTACTTTCTGTTCTGGATCCTCCACCGGGACCCAGCAGAAGGCTCTGCAGCACGAGCTCCAGGGGAAGTCTCTGCCCTGAGCAAACAGTCACACAACAGTATGTGAGATGGATGAGGATACTTCAAGGATTATGTAATGTAACTAGGGGTGTCAAATTATCGCGTTAATTGCAATTAATTAATTACAGTCATATTTAGCGCGTTATGTTTTTTAATCGCGTTAATCTCATTTTTAATCTCTAACTTTACTGTTTCTGTATGTGAGTTGCTTTATTATAAAACCTGTTTTTATGTGTTGTTGGGACAACAACAACACACAAAAACACATTTATACTTTTTTTTTTATTTCGGTAATTCCACTCATTGCCGGAAACCCACACAAAACGCGCGCAGTAAGAGCGATGTAAACGTCATGTTCACGTTTGCGGCGTCAGTCGCACAATGGACGAGGTGGAAGAGCCAGTAGAACAGAGTCAGCAGTGCACAGGTAAAAACACATTCGTGTCTTGGAAATTATTCTCCCGACGTGAAATATAAAAGAAAATAACAAATATAAAATCGCCTACAACTTAAATGTCACTGGTGAAAACAACCTGCATAGGCTCATGATGTCTGCACTACTGTCCAATAGTGACCTGCCACAAGAGGGGACACGCACACAAAAACACACAAACACACACAAACACACACACACCTTCATCATCGTCATCAACCTGAGAACGCGCGGACCACGTTTCCTTCCGTAGACACTGCGCGGACACCGACGTGCTCCCGTGAGCCGCGTGTGGATCGTGTTTTCTCGCGTATGCGGCGTAAACCGCGCTTCCTCCTGTGCGCCTCTAAACCAGAACTAACACCAAGACTAAAACCAGGACTAATCCAGTCCAGGACTAAACCAGAACTAAAACCAGAACTAAAACCAGGTCTAAACCAGGACTAAACCAGAACTAAACCAGAAATAACACCAGGACTAAAACCAGGATTAATCCATTCCAGGACTAAACTAGGACTAAAATAGGACTAAAGCAGGTCTAAACCAGGACTAAAACAAGGACTAAAACCAGTGATCTCATATATAAAGCATTTCTCTATCAATAATATTTTTAATATGGTTAAGGAAAGACTGGACCTTTTATTGTCTTTAAGTAGACAAAAGTTATTATGTTCAGATTTCCTCGTCTTTGCTACTTTACAGTAAACACTTTCTTATTCATGGAGACTTGGGCTCAACAACCAATTTGGAGAGATTTGTTAAACAATAAATGACTTTATAAAGTCACTTTTTAAAATCTATATCAGTCTTTTGATCTGCCACAATAATGTAATAATGAATTTAAATGAAAATACCTCAAATTGAAGGCTTTTCTCAGCAATTTTTAGGTGAGATTAAAATTAGATTAATTAGATTAATTAATTACAGATCATAATTAATTAATCTCTCAATTTTTTTAATCGCATGACAGCACTAAATGTAACAACTAAAAAAGAGATTTAATTTACTACTCTATTACTCAAAAATGTTCTACCTGAAAACACAATCAAGTAACTGAACAAATAACACGTCTGAGATGGAACAGTCTCTTATTCTTTGTCATTTGAATTTAGAGTGAGCTGTGGCTGTGGTTAACTTTTTGATTGCGATCTGTCACCTGCTTGTTTCTATGGAGATGTCATTGCTCTAACTGGAATGTTCCACAGTATGACTTTAAACTATTCTACTTTACATTTACAGTATTTTCCGGGCTTTTAGGCGCTCTGAATTATAAGGCATTAAATGGTCTATTTTCGAACTTTTTTCACAAATAAACCGCACCGGACGAAACACAAAAGTGTGATGGGTCAGTCAGACTTTGTTTGTGGCGTTCACGGTGACTCTGGGCTTTGTTCAGTTGTGGCGTGTAGGGAGGGTGCTGTCTGGGACCGCTGGATTGTCGGCGTGTTCGCAGTGACTCAGTTGCTCAGTTGTGTCTAGAAGTGGCACATTGCACTCGCTTTTTCGGTTCGTTCCTCCTCGTTGGCGTGGAGTGATGAGTGTGTCTGTGGGTGTGTTTCGTGTGTTTTATAGCTCAAAAATACCAAGAAAAACAGGCATTTTGACTGTGAGCGGGGTCGCCTCTCCACAGATCTGACCTGTAACTTGGCCTGGTTTGGTCTCCATGAAGATAGAAAGGTTTAATACCATACTATGAAACATTCCAGACAAAGCAATAACATCTCCATGGAGAAAAGCATTTGAGGGACCCTCCACCAGAAAAGTTACACACTGCAGCTTTAAATGTATTGGAGATTGTGCAAAAAAAATAACTTTTCACCATTTTGTCATTTGTGATGTAATGGACATTTTGGACATTTTCTGTAGAAGAAGACAAACAAACAAGACTTGAAAAGCATCCTTGTGTTGTGTGTGCAAAGGACCAATACAAATGTAATGCTTTTTTCAAACTCGAGCTGTCACATCCAAATGTACTGGACACTGAGAAACAAAAATTAAACATACAGGATCTTTAAATCAGGTAGAAGCTGCACTCACCGTGTGGAGGATGAGTATGTGAGCATCATCCAGTACATCTGCTGTCACCACCTGAAACAAAATGTCCTCAGAACAAACACATACATCTCCTCTTTGCTCTTCCTCTTGGCCTCTTGTTCCCTGGCAGCTCTAACCTCAGAATCCTTCTACCCATATACTCATGATGCCTCCTCTGTACCGTATACTCTCTGTCCTCCTCTGTACCGTATACTCACTGTCCTCCTCTGTACCAAATACTCACTGTCCTCCTCTGTACTATATACTCACTGTCCTCCTCTGTTCCATATACTCACTGTCCTCCTCTGTACCATATACTCACTGTCCTCCTATGTACCATATACTCACTGTCCTCCTCTGTACCAAATACTCACTGTCCTCCTCTGAACCGTATTTTCACTGACCTCTGTGATATTGATTTAAGGGTGTACAGGCAATGTATTTATGTTTTGTTTAGTCTTACAATAGTAAATAAGAATAAGATAAGCTCAAGAGAAGATCAGAGAACCTTTGTTTGTCCCTCAATGGGAAACAACAGTAGTAGAATATTGGGATAATTCAACACAATAATGAGAATCATTTTTGTTAATATTCTCCTTCCCTACTGAACAATATATGAGTATATGATGAATGGTTATGTTTTGACCGAAATCATTGGAGATATTTGCAGACCGATGAAACTTAATCTTATCAATTCACTTACTTGTGTTTGTTTTATCTTCTAGCCCTTGTTGTAAATGTACACTATCAGGAGTGTGTATTGGTTACTTTATAGTGACATCACTCTGTGAGTGTTCTATATGGAGATAGATTAGTGTTTTTATTATCAAATAAATCTCACGCCATTCACAAATTACATTTCTTGGTCCAGAAGCAAATATAACGACATTCGCAAATATAATTCATGACTTACAAAAACATTTTTTGACTCAAAAGAAAATGTGACACGATTCACAAATGTCAGTGCAGTTACATTTATTTCAACCAATGAACCTGCATTAAACAACAAATCACATCAACTGAAGTTCGAGTATATCGTTTATGGTTGACAACATTGCACTACTATTGCAGATAGTAGTAGTAATTAGGTCCATAGGATTCAGATAATTTTCAGGCTGACTGGCGAAAATGACAGGGGAAGGGGGTTTGTCAACTGTAAGTATACAGTAACTTGTTTATCTCCTCATAATTGAACTTTTTTAACCACATTTGTGCATCTAATGTTGTCAGGAAGGTCTCAAAATCCACAAATAAATGCAGGGATTGTCACAAATCTGTAGGGGGTTTGTAAACGCAGGTTCATCGGTTTGCAAATAAATGTAACTGTGACATTTGTGAATTGCATCACATTTTCTTTTGAGTCAAGAAATGCTTTTGTGAATGTTGTTCCATTTATTTGTAAATCATGAATTATATTTGTGAATGTTGTTATATTTGTTTCTGGACCAAGAAATGTATTTGTGAATGGTGTGATACTTATTTGATAATAAAGACACTAACCTATCTCCATAGCTCTACATGTTTCTCTATGGTCAAAGCAGTTATCACAAAGATACAATGCACACATTAAACAATACATTTTCAGGAGCCAGGTCCAGTTTAGGTGTTTGATTTTCAACAAAAATGGTAACAGTGATAAGCAGAAAAACTGTTGGCTTGTGACTGTAATGTTATCACAAAAGGACTTGGCTAACAGCACAGATCAGCTCACCAGTTGTAGTTCAGCTAAGTCAGTTGTTTATGGTCAGTTTTAGTCAAAACAAAGCTCAAATTAAAGCAAAGCAAGGCCTAAAGCAAAGCAAGTTAGCTTCACACCCCAGGGAATGTTATTGACCTCAGCTGCAGTATTAATATTGGAGTTACTGACCGTGTGTCCGGCCCTGTTACTCAAATGTTCAGCGGCCACCAGCAGAGCGTTGAGAGTGGCTCCTCCACTGCCTAAAGGCTCCTGACGATCTTGAACCGTCAAAACTAAAGCTCCAGGAGATAAGGACCCACGCTGCTGCCGCAACTCCAGCTCTGCACAAGAAAAACATCTATTTTATACAGTCTGGTCACAAATTTCTCACAGAAACAGTGAATTAATTCTACAGTGCATTATACAAATAGCACTGTCCATAGGATTCATTAAAAGGCCCATATTATATTGTTTTCTGATCTGTCTTTTCTGATAATGGAGTTTCCTCATCACAAACCTGGAAGTTTTGTTTCATTCACACAGGTTTAACACACAAACCCTGCACATTTAGGCTAAGTTCTTCTCTCAAACAGAAAACACTCTGTTCTACCTTGTGATGTCATGTTGAAGTGCTCCACTGTGTTTTAAACTCCACCCTTACGATAATCGTGTGAATGATTTTAGCTCTGGAGTTGCCAGTTTCTACTGAACTTAAGGTAAAAGGAATGGTTCACTTGAAAACTACCACTACATGACATCACAAGGTGTAAAAGAGCACACAGAGCCTTGGAGATGTAAACAGACTAAAAATAAAGGATTACTCAAACATGTGTGAAAGAAAAAAATACAACTCCAGGTCTGTTTTAGAAGAGGTAACAACATTTTAACATGGTTTAAAGCTCACGAGAGTCAGTTTTGAGTAATATAGGACCTGTTTCACCAGGACATCGTCTTTCAAAGAAACACAAATGACACACCTGAAAAACAAACGATATAAAACTGACCTCTTTGAAAAGAGTACACACTGTCTTTGTGCTGACAAGTGAGGACCACCACAGTCCAGCTGAATTCAGCGCGCGGACTCGTCATTATGGCGTTTATTTTTATAGAAGAGCTAAACTGTAAACTAAATCTACTTCAAACTAACTTTCCTACATCGTGAAAAGTCCATACGCCAACACCATTTTGACGACACTAAAGTTGCAAATACATATGCATACTGGCTGAGTTAAAATGGAATGTTTTAATTGAAAAGTTGTCTAAAAACGCAACTAAACAACTCCAGCTGAAGTGTTGATGGTCTGACTTCCGTAAACAACGTGTATGCGTGAAGGGGCGGGGTGATCTTCTTCTTCGTCTTTTTCTATAAAACGCGAATGCTGCCCCTGACTGCTCAGGTGGTCACCAAACTCTGTCAGTTCTTGATTTTAGTTTCTTCTGGTTAAGAGGAATACCCTTATATATTTTGCAGTGTACTGTAAATGCAGATAAAAAGGAACCAATAGATAGGACACATTCATTTTGCAGTATAGGGCATTATTTCCCCATACTGCACATGATTTGCCACGGTTTATAGGAAAAGGAGATTTGATTGGCTGAGAGGACAAAGTAGGCGGAGCTAAGAGTTCAAATACACACAAGTTCCTGACTCATGGTTCAAAATCCGGAATTTGATGACAGTCTTTGGTTTTAACTACTTTGGTTATTTTACAATCCTGGATGTTAAAATGATTAGCGAAGGGCAAAATCATACAGTCCATGGGCAAAATGAATCCAGTGGGCGTTTCAATGAAACCCCGAAATGAACCGTGGTTAACAAGGCAGTCACGTGACTGAGGCATCGGGTGAATATAACGTTCTATTAATGTCCTTTTTATTGTTATAATGGGCAATGTTCATATTTTCACACCGATAGAAAACCTTTAAATAAACCTGATAATAACATACATGTTAATCACGACATAATGAAATTCTCGCTTGATACCAATACTTAACAACTATTCTAACCACTGCCCGTAACCGACATGAATTCAGCGGGTACATCACGCGACAGACCCACGATAAATTCGGACAATTGGTAATACTTCTACCCCGACTTCTTCACTGTTCATTTTTCTTAAACCAAGTATCAGTCTCCGTAGAGACCGTCAAAAATTGCCATTGCCGACTATATTTCAAGTCGTCAAGGCGGGGTATTGGGTAAAGTTTTCAACTAGCAATAATCGCGCCTCGGATAAACCTCATAGGCTACGATACTGCCACTGCGCAAAGCTGACGAGGAAAGTTAAAGTGGTGAAGGTCCTCCTCCGGCCTACGATGTTAGCTCATGGTTGAGTACGGGACACTTTTCAAATTGCAGCGCTAAGTGAAACATAGTCAAACATTTTGCTCTTTTTACGCAATATGCTGATTTCAAATACACTTTGTGAATGATAATAATGACAAAATCTGTAAAAATCCTACGATATGTCTTAAATTATTTTGTCGCAATGCATTATGGGTACACATGTTACTTGCATCTTTATGAAAGAATTCTGGTTTAACAAACGTTCGCTGTAAAGTTTAAAAACTGGAAACGAAATCTATATTTGCAAGAATAATAAAGAAATGTTGTAAACCTTAAGCTATAATGTTACGTTTTATTCGTCTGAGTTTAGCTCCGCCTGCAGGTCTCGTGGTTATGAGTAAAGCTTTTACCCAGAATGCCACGCGAGAGGGGTGTTAAATTTCCGGACTCGCCACGAGGGGGCATAAGTGATCTCTGTTTAGCTCTCAGCTCCTGTTGAATAGTTACCGCTTTAAAAATTAACACACAGTCACCATTTTACAACCATGAAATAATAATAATAATAATAATAATAATAATAATAATAATAATAATAATAATAATAATAATAATAATAATAACATTTTAATAAAAAAGGACAATTATTTTTTACCCTGTTTCTGTGTTTGAAATGACTTGACCAACTTGTGTTGAATAGTTGTAATGCTAATTTAGTGTCACTGAGCCCATGTTTTACATTTTATAGGTCTATTATTTTTTATTAGTGACAATATTTGTGGTTTCAGATTCTAGAATGATGTCATACTGCCAGATGGGGGCCAAGATCCAGATTTTTATTGCACGGTACTTTACTTTGAACCTAAGGATTTCTTATATTCTATTCATTTTAACTGTCAACATGTGTATAAAATATAGTACTGAATATAATTTACCCTGAATCCTAGACTCTTGATACTGATCATTCACTCACAGGTGTTTTTATTGCTGATATAAATACTTTGAAATATGTGCATTCTCAAGAGCAAGGTCACCTTTCCACGCACCTGACTTGTAACTTGACCTGATAGTGTTATCTGCATGTCTCCATGGTGATAGATGCATTTAATACCATAAGGTGGAACATTCCAGGCAAAGCAAGTCAATAAATCAGTCTGCTTCAGTCTGTTTCAGTCAGATGCAGCCTTTTTCAGTCATTTTCAGTCTGTGTCAGTCTGTGTCAGTCTGTGTCAGTCTGTGTCAGTCTGTTTCAGTCTGTGTCAGTCTGTTTCAGTCTGTGTCAGTCTGTGTCAGTCTGTTTCAGTCTGTGTCAGTCTGTTTCAGTCTGTGTCAGTCTGTTCAGTCTGTGTCAGTCTGTTTCAGTCTGTGTCAGTCTGTTTCAGTCTGTGTCAGTCTGTGTCAGTCTGTGTCAGTCTGTTTCAGTCTGTGTCAGTCTGTGTCAGTCTGTGTCAGTCTGTTTCAGTCTGTGTCAGTCTGTGTCAGTCTGTTTCAGTCTGTGTCAGTCTGTTTCAGTCTGTGTCAGTCTGTGTCCGTCTGTGTCAGTCTGTGTTCGTCTGTTTCAGTCTGTGTCAGTCTGTTTCAGTCTGTGTCAGTCTGTGTCAGTCTGTGTCAGTCTGTGTCAGTCTGTTTCAGTCTGTTTCAGTCTGTGTCAGTCTGTGTCAGTCTGTTTCAGTCTGTGTCAGTCTGTGTCAGTCTGGTGTCAGTCGGTGTCAGTCGGTGTCAGTCGGTGTCAGTCGGTGTCAGTCTGTTTCAGTCTGTTTCAGTCTGTTTCAGTCTGTTTCAGTCTGTGTCAGTCTGTTTCAGTCTGTGTCAGTCTGTTTCAGTCTGTGTCAGTCTGTGTCAGTCTGTTTCAGTCTGTTTCAGTCTGTGTCAGTCTGTCAGTCTGTTTCAGTCTGTGTCAGTCTGTTTCATTGCACCATATGATCCTCCTGTGTGCATTGTCATTACTGATCATTAAAGTTTTTAAAGGTCATTAATTACCACAGATCTGATTATTCATGAACTTTTTTCAGAAAGTTTATGGGGGAAAATGTGCTCCAAAATTGGAGATCTGCAACATGGAGGCATATTACTGACATTTCAAACTTGATTTCAGTAACAGGAACTTAGACTTAGACAAACTTTATTGATCCACAAGGGAAATAATTTGAACACAGGAGTCACACATCACAATATAACAACAGAGAGTAAAAAATATAAATGGTAATAAGACATTTTAAATAAGTAGCAAAAAAGAGCAAGAGACATGAGTCAAGTAATCATAAACATAATTATATAAATGTACAAGTGAAAATAAAATAGATAAGTCATCAAATAAAATCACAGCTTTATACAAGAGGTCAAAGGAAGACAGTGCAACAATGATCTGATAATCGACAGGACTCAGGGTTATGTGTTCCATAAAGGTGAGTTGTTGTACAGTTGTAGGGAGTATTATCTGTTCCATAAAGGTGAGTTGTTGTACAGTTGTAGGGAGTATTATCTGTTCCATAAAGGTGAGTTGTTGTACAGTTGTAGGGGGTATTATCTGTTCCATAAAGGTGAGTTGTTGTACAGTTGTAGGGAGTATTATCTGTTCCATAAAGGTGAGTTGTTGTACAGTTGTAGGGAGTATTATCTGTTCCATAAAGGTGAGTTGTTGTCCAGTTGTAGGGAGTATTATCTGTTCCATAAAGGTGAGTTGTTGTACAGTTGTAGGGAGTATTATCTGTTCCATAAAGGTGAGTTGTTGTACAGTTGTAGGGAGTATTATCTGTTCCATAAAGGTGAGTTGTTGTACAGTTGTAGGGAGTATTATCTGTTCCATAAAGGTGAGTTGTTGTACAGTTGTAGGGAGTATTATCTGTTCCATAAAGGTGAGTTGTTGTACAGTTGTAGGGAGTGTAGCTCCTCAGTGACAACACTGCACGCGGTTCTCGAGTACTGGCGCATTTATTGGCCTTAACAAATGCCGTAAAACGCCATGAAAACTACAGGACAAATAAAACATAATTAGACACTCCATATTTGTTTGCTAACACAGAAGTACCAATGAAATTGGTACCTTAAACCTCGTGGCCGCCAGTCACATCGGAGATCTTTAAGAAAAAAAAATCTGCGCGATTGGCGGGCGCACTTTACATGTCGTGCAGCCGGTTAGCTGCCGTAGCTGCTGAAATCGTGGCTCTCGCTGTAATAATTTGAGCAGATGAGGTGTACGTGATTCACCTGATATCAAGTTCTCAAAGTCTCGCGACAATAGCGGTACCAAACCAAATAAAATTATTAAAGATTATTAAAATGATTACAGTCGTATATATTTATATAAAGTAAAAACATATTTTTCCTGTATGAATTATGATTATTTTTTAAACAAATTTTAACTTAATAATTTTTAACTCATAATTTTTCTAAATCAAAATGAACTTGTTTTTGCATAATGCATTTTAATGACACTTACAGGGAGTATTATCTGTTCCATAAAGGTGAGTTGTACAGTTGTAGGGAGTATTATCTGTTACATAAGGGTGAGTTGTACAGTTGTAGGGAGTATTATCTGTTACATAAGGGTGAGTTGTTGTACAGTTGTAGGGAGTATTATCTGTGTCTTTATAGTCTGGTGCAGTGTGGGAGCAGGAGTGTCCATGATGGAGAGCAGTTTGTCCAGTGTCCTCGTGTCCTTCACTATGACAAATGTCTCCAGTTCACAGTGGATCACGTGAGCAGTTTTACAGATCAGTTTGTCGATCCTGCCAATGTCCCTTTTCCTGGAGCTGCTCCTCCAGCAGAACACAGTGAAGTTCAGGGCACTGACCTCACAGACTGGGAGAAGATCTCCAGTAACTTGCTGCACACAGTGAAAGACCTGAGCTTTGTCAGGAAGTCGAGTCTCCTGTCCCAGCACCTGTCCCAGCACCTGTCCCAGCACCTGTCCCAGCACCTGTCATTCTCTGATACACCCACCCACTGCAGAGTCATCAGAGAACTTCTGTTGATGGCAGGACTCAGAGCTGTACTGGAAATCGGAGGTGAACAGAGTGAACAGAAACAGAGACAGGACTGTACCTGAGGTCTCCTACATTACTGACCACAGTATTGGACAGGGTGCTCCCTGTCGCATGTACTGGGAAAATGGAGGAGCTGACACCATCCTGAGCAGCTTCTCACTCACCAGGCAGAAAGAGCTGGATTGTGTTAAAGGCACTGGAGAAATCAAAAAACAATCTCCTCACAGAGCCTGAACACCATCCAGGTGTGAGGAGCCCAGTGAAGAAGATAGATTTCAGAATCTTCCATGTCTAAATGGCACTGATAAGCAAACTGTAGAGGATCCAGAGATGGTGCCACCAGGGCTGAGCTGAGCCAGAACACGTCTCTCAAACACTTTCATGACATGAGACGTCAAGACAATTGATCTGAAGTCATTTAGTCCAGATGGAATAGGCTTTTTGAGCACAGGCACAATGCAGGAGGTCTTCTGTAACGTTCTCTAGACACTAGAATGTGATGTTCAACATTAAATGGTCATATTTTCTTTTCTATTCCCATGTGTCTTATATGTGTGTAATCCTCAGTGGTCTTTGGGTGTACACTAGTCTTTGTGTTCCTATACTTGTTCTTGTACTTTGATACAGCTCGAGATTGTTCTGAAGCTATTCATGAAAGGTTCATTTCTGTCCATACCTGCTGAAATGAGTATTTTGTTTTGATACTAGTTTTATTATACCCTCCATGCGAAAAGCTACAAAAATAAAAACAAGATTAATAGACAAAAAAAATGCAAATTATATCTTAATGAGAAAAATATTAAAGCGTACAGAACTCTAAACTGGACTCAAACCAGGACCCAACTTGTCCATTCCCAGGAGTGAGCAGCAGAGGGCAGCCTCCCCCCAGGCCCGGCGCGGTCTCCTCAGCACAGGACTGAATCAGATACAGGCCCGGAACATCTTGGACAACTTTGCGGTGGTGATCTGTCTTCCATTAAGGC